CTCGTCTCTGTCTCTCACCCCACTCTCCCCTCGTCTCTGTCCCTCACCCCACCCTGCCCTCGTCTCTGTCCCTCACCCCACTCTCCCTTCGTCGCTGCCCCTCTTTAACAAAGCAATTCATCAAAAGTGTATATATTATTCGCTGTTTTTCTCCTTCGCTCAAATACGCTCAGAGTTCCAAATTCCGTTATGTTACACTTAATTATAAAAACGAAACAATTTAAACAAAAATGTAATTTTTACGTTTACATACCAGAATTGGCGACTATATTCATTTGGTTTGTTTAGTTAAAAAGCAACAACATAAAACTACAAAAAAAGCAATAGCAAGTCTCGTTTATTTTCCAGGTGTCTTATACAAACAGCCCACATCCTCTTTAACTTCAATTTGAACTTCTCCGCCGAACCCTAAATAAAACCTGTTTTAGCAATGTTGACTAACGCGTTTTTAATAACAACATTCAATTATTTCTTTACAATGAGATGTTTCGACGGTGTGAATTTCACGGATAAATAAAAACGCCGTAACACTACTATTTAACGAACTTGTGACAGTTTTCATGTGATTTTACCTGTACATAACCTTATTATGGTCCACGCTCAGCCTGAACAGGTAAAATCAGCCCTTTACAGCTACAGACAGACTTTTTAAGTGGATTTTTTTTTTTACATTTCTGTACCTTTTGTTAAATGAGGTTCCTGAAGAAAAAATGAGTTTACGTTACTCATTAGAGCAGAACGAGGCTGAAACGGCCAACTGTTTTATTTCGGTTACTCGGAAATATAACTCCTTTGCTATGTCGTCGCACAGTCCACTTATCTGTACAGGGAGGAAAGGATCATGGTCACCATTTCCCATTGACGGTAATGCACTCATGACGTCACCATATTGTTGCTGTATTTTGCATTATGAGTTTTTACAACAGGGAGACGTGATTTCGCAATATTCGAAAAAAATCTCGTTCTGTCATTTTGTTTGTTTGTAATGTGTTCGTTGTTGATTCTTGTTTGTAAGACGCTATTTATTTCTCGTGAAAAAATGATAAGGTCGTTTTATCAAGCTATAAACAATAATGAAGAATTGATATGGCTTCCAATAATTTCTAGCCCCCTCCTCCTATACACATGCATTCCGGTAACAAGATAAAATATAGTGTAAATTATCAAAATTCTGAATAGAACAAAAAAAACCTAAGAAGCAAGAAATCAAGTATTACTTTGTTTTCAATATTATACCTGTTCGATGACGGGCTCTTTGCTACTAAATGGAGGTTTGCACCGGCAACCTGTTACCAAGTGTTGTGCCGTAATTAAGGTAATGTGCTAAATTTCTGTGATGAACTATAAGATTCAAAAAGTTTTCCGCTCACACACTCGGAAACTGTTCATTTTTTAATCTAATTAATGAAAAGCAAATTCATAAAAAAGTCAAACTATTCCTATTCTTTAGAATACCAGTAGGTATGTGGCCAATATGTACCGAACTCTGTCGAATGGCGCGAGATTACCTTCGGAGTAATGAATGCTAAAGGAAAAAAGGTCGGAATGATGAAGATCACGGCACGAAATCGCACTTTTATCCTTGGGGGAGTATATTAACTGTAGGTAAACTAGCAGCTACGTGGTATCAAACAGGACAAGCTATAAAAGTACGTTCTTGTTAAAGCAAAACTCGCACCTGAGGCTGTTCCGTCTGAGGTCAGGGAGTCCCCGACAAGGTCAAAACAAACATGACAAAACCTTAAATATATATATATGTATGTGTACATTACACAAAAGGTGGTATACGCATAGTCACACTTATTCTTATTTTCATTTACCAACAATTATGTCCGGGAGACATTTCTTAATATATGTATATATGTATGTGTGTGTATTTACATTTTGGTCCATTTGACGTTGTCGTAAGCTATAACACAAGAACATATTGTACGAAAGATGTGTTATAAATCTAATAAATTTCAAAAGTTTGAAAAGAGATATTCATACGTGTTTTGTGTTCTGTCCTCACTGGTAATACCCGTTCATCTACCTTCAGACTTAAAGCTATTTATAGCTGTAAAGTAATCATTCAATAATGACTTACCTGGCGCGCTCTCCTTTACGACATCGACACGGTTCAGTGCACACGTTTATTGGGAAAGTACATTACATGTAGGCTATATCACACCATATCATGCATGTGTGAATGGCTTTTATACACAGCTGCCACTTGGTGACAATTTTCAGTGTTTCAACGATCTTAACAAAAAGTAGGACTTTTGATAGAAACAGGAATTAAATATATATATATTACTCGATTTTTCCTTTTCTATTCAACGATAATTATATAGAAAAACTAGTTCGGCCAGATCGCCCACCTAATTGTAAGCGTCCTTCAGTGTGTGTATTTGCACGGATTCAGTCACGCCCCTAGTGTGTTCCAGGCAGGTACACACAAGTGCTAATATACCCGGTGTACGGAGCTGTGCTTTGTTGGCAATTGGAAAAGACCAGGATGTGTTTTTCGTGAAACCGTGGAAGAGATTTGGATAGCTTTCGCCCCGATTTTCGAGGATATTTCGGGAGTTTTAATTACAACATATCGGGGGAAGAAAGGTCTACACTTTTGTACGGTGTAAAAGTGGTCGGTGACGTTTTCTAAAAAGTACCCAAACATGGCACCGGAAGTAAGAAAGTGCACGCCCAAACCGGGTCTGGTAATTCTTCTGGTTCTCGGCTTTATACCAGGTGAATAATTTTGGTTCGATATGTCATTTGAAAACCAATTAAGTATACTTTTACTTCTGTTTTTATATTGATGTACCCACCCGTGTGTCACATACCCTGTTGTATATTGTCTCGTGTACAATTGTGTTTCTACGTTTATATTGATCCAAGCATATAATTCATAACCAATTTCTGTTTTCTTCCTAGTAATATATATCGTGACGTGTAAACATTTTTATTTAAAATATGAAATACAATGTGTATCGTCAAAATGGAAATTGACATTCGATCTGACTGGTCAGTTTCACATTAAACTCTCCCATATATAGTGAATTCTTTATCGACTGAGCTTGACACGCATGACTGATTTTGAATGACCATTAATACCTGAACTTGTACCCCACTATGAGGTAGTACGAGTGTGCATACTGTGATATTGTAGTGGGTTCCAGACTGAGATTATTGTCAAAATACCGGTTTACAGCCGTCTATTTTTGGGTCTGTCTTCTCATATACGTGATCTTTGCGGAATTACATCATGCATACAATACTCATTCATCACGTGCACACATTTAATTAACGTCTACAGGTAGACTGTATGTACATGTAATTGATTCAAACAGGTGTGGATGACTATGTTATGTAGAAGAGAATTAATGTTTTCTTACGACCTGGGAGTCGTACAGAATAAATAATAATGACATTCATGATTAATATCTAACAAGCAGAACAACATTTTAGTTAAGGATGGACGTTCTTCTGTGTTTATTAAAACCGAGAAGTAAATATTTGTATACCTGTAAGGAGAAGAAATGTTCAACCTATTAACAGGTTGGGGAAAACCACCAACTTGCGTATATACACAAACTAGCCTATTATACGCAAGTTGGAGTATGGATTTGTTACTAAAAATAACCCAAATCGCTTTAACAGTTACTTTTGCAAGATATTATTAAGAATCGCTTTAATTTACGACAAGGTAAATAATATTTTGCTAAAAGATGTTGACTGAAAGCATTGGCTACTTAGAAAGTTGATGTAACTTTACCGAAAGTATTGCATCTATTTTTGGTACTTTCCCACATGCAGATAAATTTTATTTTTGCATTTGTATTATGTTTCATGACTGAATAAATGCGACTTGTACAAACAATTTGAAAAAGTTAAGATTAAAGTGATTTTATCTATTTTTAGTATCAAATCCATACCCCTATTGGCGTATACTAGTCGAGTTTGCGTATGATACGCAAGTTGATACGCAAGTTAGTAGTTTTCCCCGACCTGATTAACAGACCCAACATACACACTTTCAGTATACACGCACTCCTCCCGCACGCAGTCGTCACTTCAACCCAACCACCCTTTAACCCCCCACCACACCACCACCACCACCACCATTTTCCACCAACACTACGCGAAGCCTCCAACCCCTCTCCCCGCAATCCAACAACCCAGAGACGTCAGTAGTCAGTAATTCACATTACACAGTTTGGGGGGAGGGGTGTCCAGATTTTCCGAAATTGGGGGTGTTGGGGAGGGGGTGGTATTGGGGAATATTGAGAAAATGCAATACGAGTCATTTTTCGACTGTTGATATAGCGCGCAATGTAGCTAGTAGAAGACAGGCTCGATACGCTTTAAAAATTTGCTACAATCAATACAGTGGGAGTATTTCACAATAGATGCCTTATCATGGTCTAATTACTGTCGTACTATGACAATATGAACTGCTCCTGAAAATAGACTAATGTCTTAATCCCGAACAGGATGACGAACCACTAACTGTATATGTAGTCTGATGTTAGGGTGACCCCCGACTTTCCTCCGACTTCATGAAGAATATCCTGTGAATTGAATTGTTAAACCAAATATATGTCCAAGATCTACGAATCTACAGTTAACACCGGTCATATCAAGCGCTTCTAACTTAATTTGATATTAACAGCTGAACTGTAATAAATAAATTAGAAACTAAATTTAAAATTTAATAAACAACTTGGCTGGTTAAACTATAGCCAAACTTAGATGTTGCCGAATAAATTTAAATTTACATTGTAAAGTTACATCACAGGTCCGGTCACGTGACACGGATCTGGTCTTCCTGGTATCTGGTTTCAAATACCCGAGTACGTAATTGTGAAGACCGTAGACATTTACTTGTACGGAGATTCAAAAAGGCCACAACACCGCCCGAGCCAATTGTTCGGAATTATGTTTTATATACACATTCAATGTAAACACAATACGCCTGCATTACAAGTACCTGAATAGAGCAGATCGGGGACATTATAACGTGAATGGTTCTCCTTTATTGTGAGCATAGAAACACGTCTCGCAATTCTAAATGTAAGGCTGAAGGTTATTTGTTTACGTCCTTAACAGATTAGCCATTCTAGACTATATATAGAGTATATCTAGTCTGCCCAGCTGACTCGTGTTTGTATGCTTCTTGACATCCGATAGACCGGCGTCCTGTACCGGCGATGCATCTAAAAGAGCCACTAAACTTCACTCTACAATGTAAACCGAGCAAACCAACCCCTGTAAAACCCGGATACCTGTTTAAAAGGCATCTAAGTGACAGCTGAAAGAATATGTTTCTGTCCGAATAAATTACTTTAACAGAGTAAAGTTCGTCTGAATGAGAAGAAAATATATGATTAAATGCTATCACCATTGAAGTACTTAGTTATTTTCGCCCGGATTTACAGCCTAATACAGGCTGCTTTGCCTATATAGCCAGTGCTTTATTTTCCCGAAATGAAATAAGCAGGAATATCCGCCAAATTTTATATAAAAAACGCTGTATTTCCCAAATTCATATAGGAACAGGTTGTTGCAAAATGTAGAAATAAAAACCTCTGATTTCTGATGATTTATGTTATATTTGATTGGATAAGATAGGTCCATTGTTGTTCAAGTACTTGGATATAGTTAACAGATAAATTCCTATATAATTAACCGATACATTCCTATATAGTTAACAGATACATTCCTATATAGTTAACAGATAAATTCCTATATAGTTAACAGATAAATTCCTTTATAGTTAACAGTTAAATTCCTATATAGTTAACAGATAAATTCCTATATAGTTAACAGATAAATTCCTATATAGTTAACAGATAAATTCCTTTATAGTTAACAGATAAATTCATATAAAGTTAACAGATACACTCCTATATAGTTAACAGAAACATTCCTATATAGTTAGCAAATAAATTCCTATATAGTTAAAAGATAAATTCCTATATAGTTAACAGATACATTCCTATAGTTAACAGATACATTCATATAGTTAACAGATACATTCCTTTAGTTAACAGATACATTCCTAGATAGTTAACAGATAAATTCATATAAAGTTAACAGATACACTCCTATATAGTTAACAGTTAAATTCCTATATACTTAACAGATAAATTCCTTTATAGTTAACAGATAAACTCCTATATAGTTAACAGACAAATTGCTATATAGTTAAAAGATAAATTCCTATATAATTAACAGATACATTCCTATATTGTTAACAGATAAATTCCAATATAGTTAACAGATAAATTACTATATAGTTAAAAGATAAATTCCTATATAGTTAAAAGATAAATTCCTATATAGTGAACAGTTAAATTCCTATATAGTTGACAGATAAATTCCTATAGAGTTAACAGATACATTCCTAGATAGTTAACAGATAAATTACTATATAGTTAACAGATAAACTCCTATATAGTTAACAGACAAATTGCTATATAGTTAAAAGATAAATTCCTATATACTTAACAGATAAATTACTATATAGTTAAAAGATAAATTCCTATATACTTAACAGATAAATTCCTAAATAGTTAACAGATACATTCATATAGTTAACAGATACACTCCTATATAGTTAACAGAAACATTCCTATATATTTAGCAGATAAATTCCTATATTGTTAACAGATAAGTTCCTATATAGTTAGCAAATAAATTCCTATATAGTGAACAGTTAAATTCCTATATACTTAACAGATAAATTACTATATAGTTAACAGATGCATTCCTATATAGTTAACAGTTAAATTCCTATATACTTAACAGATACATCCCTATATACTTAACAGATAAATTACTATATAGTTAACAGATGCATTCCTATATAGTTAACTGTTAAAATATAGTTAACAGATACACTCCTATATAGTTAACAGTTAAAATATAGTTAACAGATAAACTCCTATATAGTTAACAGTTAAAATATAGTTAACAGATACATTCATATAGTTAACAGATACACTCCTATATAGTTAACAGATAAACTCCTATATAGTTAACAGTTAAAATATAGTTAACAGATAAACTCCTATATAGTTAACAGATTAATTCCTATATTGTTAACAGATAAGTTCCTATATAGTTAGCAAATAAATTCCTGTATAGTTAAAAGATAAATTCCTATATACTTAACGGATACATTCCTATATAGTTGACAGTTAAAATATAGTTAACAGATAAATTACTATATAGTTAACAGATGCATTCCTATATAGTTAACTGTTAAAATATAGTTAACAGATACACTCCTATATAGTTAACAGACAAATTGCTATATAGTTAACAGATACATTCCTATATAGTTAACAGTTAAATTCCTATATACTTAACAGATAAATTCCTATATACTTAACAGATACATTCCTATATACTTAACAGATACATTCCTATATAGTTAACAGATAAATTCCTATATAGTTAACAGATTAATTCCTATATTGTTAACAGATAAGTTCCTATATAGTTAGCAGATAAATTCCTATATAGTTAGCAGATAAATTCCATGATGTGTGTATTTTGTCTTTGTCAAACGTCAGGGAACTATTCGGTGAATGCGAAATAAATGTTTTTTGAGATATACATGTAGTTTCATGCAATGCACAATCCATATTTACTTCGGGGACAAACGCTAGATAATTTAGGTTTTATAAACTATTAAAAAAGAATACGTTATATCACAACTAGGACGAACGCTAATGTAAGTTCTATGTTTTCCAAGTTTTCTAGTAAAGGAATGCTAGAAGAAGAAAAAAATACGAAATTGACATTATTTGATATTAATCATAGAAAGATATGTGAAATAAAACAAAACAAAAATGACCTCCGGAGAATTGTCAAATAATGACAACGAATTTAAAAATCCCACATTTTTGGATATCTTACAAATTTATGAAGTGATAACATCATGGTTTCGTATTAAGGCTAAAGTGAGTGTTACGTGTATTCGACAACTATCAGGTGTTATATTTGACAATTACAACAATCATTTATTTGACAACTACAACAATTATTTTGTATATTTCCTTACAGGTGCTCTCTGTGACTTCAATGCTATTTTGTGTTATACCAACGTTATTTATACGTTTCAGGTGTTTTATATGACAACTAAAACAATATTTCTATTATAATTTTCAGGTGTTCTATGCGACAACTACAATCTTTCTGGTCTCGTAGCTTCAAGTATAGCTGCTGTGTTCTATCTGATCTTACTAACAGCTGTCATCACAATGGGTATAATTTGGTAAGTTTGTATTTCCGGTGTTTCGTATTGTTAGTGTGTATTTACGGTTCTATTTCCCACGTATATATTTCCGGTTCTGGTTAATGAGGCTATTTTCCTAGCGCTATCGAATGTAAAATAAAAATCACTTATTGACAGATGAAATAGCTATTTTTTACCTAGTAACATGTACAAACAATAGTTATGATTATTGACAACGATAGTTTTCTAAAAGAAATGGCTATAGACCGCCAAGTCAAATTCGGCGATGCACGACTTTTTGTAAAAAAGAAAGTAAGAAATCTAGTTTGAATTAACCAACTCTAGTGTTGATGACTTTTGTTATATTTGAATATCTTCCATGACAGGCATAGATGGTATCCACGATACCAGTTGGCTCATAACAAAGTTAAAATCCCCCGCCACGTCAGATTCGCTCAGCTCCATGGAAGTCGTGTGGAGATCATTGAACCCGAGAGTAGATCGCTTCATTTGACGTCATATCCACCATCTATGAGGTCAACAAAGGTCATGGTCCCAACTGCTACAACTTATCAAAAAGCAGGTAAGAACGACCCGGTCACACTCCACTAACCGACTATGTTTATTTTTTATTTTTCAAATGATTTTTTTAAGATTATCTTTATGATCAGTGATAATGTTTAAGGATTCGAAAGTGAGTTATGAGTTTCTACTGATCTTCCTTAACAATGACTATTCTTATCAGTTATGGACTTTCGTTGAGGTGAATGTGTGGGTAAATGATTCTGAGAAAACGACATTGACCGAAATAAAAGTCCGTAATTGTAATATTACAAAATTACCAACCTCCACGTGATTATGATTCAACAAATGGCCATAAAGGGAAAACGACGTCATTTGATATAAATTATGATAAATTTGAGGAAATGTTGAAATCTAATTAAGTCCATATGTGTGAGTGGGCATGAGTACGTTTTTATCAGACATTATTCAAATAGCGATCAACTCATGCACATGTGAATTAATACTGTCTTTATAAAATATACGTGATCAAGTTAATTTAAAACAAATTCAGGGATGAGGTAAAATTCCATCCTTATCGGGAATCTCCTCAGATTCGCCTTACCAGAGTGCACACCTGATGTATTATTAGGACAATCCTATTTTTTTATGAACGGAAATTTTACCTGGCTTGTTCATTTATGCCTAGGTCGAATACAGTAACACAGACATGGTGTAATGTTACATACATTCTCGACTCTGACACAAAAGCACATGTATTGTGTGTAAAGTAGCATACATCCCATACTCTAACACAAAAACACGGTAAAATGTTACGGTAGTGTATAAACTTAACTCTAAAACAAAAGTACAGACATAATATGTAAGATTAAACCACAAATAGACGGGCATTATGTATAAAATAGAGCATATATATTTAACTTTTACTAAAACAAATGCAGGGATAATTTGTAAAGTAGCACATATCCTTAAGGTGGCTCCACACATCGTCATCAGCGTCCATTTTCGTGACGTACTTCCGGAAAAAGTACAGCTCGGACTCAATTATCTTGATCGAAATGTGCATGTACACCGTGTCGTCATTTCCGTTTTTGCGTATCGGGCATTCAACACCTGGTAAACAATAGTACACGTGCGTGCCGATGATATGTCAACACCCGATATCGAGATTTTACCGGGAAATGTATAATCACTCATATACGCTCGAGGCCGTTACGATTTTCGCTGTTGAGGGAGTTTCGCTCTGTCGATTAAATCGTGTTTACAAATGTAGTCTACTTACTATGTGAAAATAATGTTTTGTAAAATATCAAGATACCTATGAAATGCATGTGTGAGTGCACGTGAGAACGGCAGGCATACCATGCCATAGCCTCTGGAAACATATATGTACCTGACATGTAATTATAAATATACCGTAAGTTAGCGAACTGTGGAATGATGTCCAAAGTGTACATGACTGAGGGTAATTTGGTTCCATTAAAGAACAATAAATTGATAATTTTGATATCATATTTTTGATTTATTTCCATCATTTTTGTTATATGTAAACAGAGACAACTGTCATTGTGTAAATGTCACCCCTCTGCAAAAAGTTCCGATTATTTTCAAGGAAGATAACTCTCACCCGGATCAAAGTGATTGTAAAATGTAAAATAAATTAATTATAAAGCCATTGTGTATATTTTGTTCAATTTCCCATTCTATATGTATAGATCTTTGTGTCCTGGGTGCTTTTAGCTTGTAGATAATCACTTTTATACGTACAAATTCAATAAGAAACACTTTGTGTAACATGTGTAACATATTTTGCGATAAATAAAAGGGTTAATTAGAAATGCTTCTTTTCATTTTATTATTGTTGTTATTGTTCCGAACAATGCCACACACCAAAAAAAACGGAAAATATTAAAATTGACGAAATTTCATTTTTTTTTGTATTTTTTCCAAAAAAGTCCCCAAACTATCGGGATGTTTAGATTTTCATAAAATCAACTCTACATAGTTGCATAACCATTATATGAAAGTTTCAACGAATTTTTCTGGTTAATTGCGAAAGTGTGGAGCCACCTTAACCGTTGAAAGAAAAAAACACACAGGTATAATGTGGAAGGTAGCACATTGTTTGGATACAGGCTACCTTGTTATATCTACCTTCTTTTAAAAAGAGTTCTACACTGAAAAACATTCAAATTTTCTACAAAATAGTGGTTTCCCCCCTTATTTGGAACAAGCATTTACATTTTTAATCAACTTACAACATATAACATTGACAATTCTCAGTTTTTTCTTAATTATGATAACATATTGATTAAAATAATGAAGGGAAATAACTCTAACATAGATCACACTTTTACATGTAAGGTAGCATATTGCCTTAAGTCAGTGCAATGTGAGTTGTTGGTAATCTGGCCTTGTACAACATCTCTATAACAACCGCTTGTTTCATCTGACAGGTGTATATATATACATGTATATAATGTTACTGAGCCAGCAAGACATAACGTCGCGACAGTATCAGGAAGCTCATGAATATTCATAAGTCGAAACGAGCAGCATATGGTCGTGTGTTGCCTTGTGTTTTATATACGTTCTACATCAATTATTCAAGACCCAATGAATCCAGTGTAGAGAGAACATGAAAACTAAGCGGTAACAAACGAAAAACTAATTTTATATATTAACGACACGTGATTATAGGAAATTGAACCGGAAATGGAAATATATTGGTTTAAGAAATTGGATTTGAAGAGAAATTACACAAAGTAACATATGATTTTAAATAGGACATATAAACTGCAAAATCTGTTTAAATGGAGCAACACTAGAACCTAGATTCAGTTTTGGTTTAAGTGTTTTTTAAGAAGAAATATTTATTTTGAACCGAGTACAATATCTCAATAACAACCACTTCCGTATTAGTAAACGTCCATTTTTGACGGGTTACACCATAAATTTGATCAAATCTTCAGTGATACGAATAGAATGCTGTGCCTATAGGATTGGTTAGTGGTTGGCCTGCTCTATTCCACTGCATGATATACAAGGGTACTTGTGTGGTGATCCTGTAGATTGGGCAGATTTCTTCGGTGTCTCATTATTAGAAACATGGAAGAGGCTTATCTGATATGTTGGTGCCAATGCTTAGTTTCTCTTCAGATTATCTGTTATTTTCTATTGGTGAAGTCTCCATAGCGGTCACTTCCGGTTGTATTTCCTGGTGGTTTATATAAGTATTTTTTGGGAAATTTCTGTTCACATTTCTTTCTTACCGCTGAAAAATTGAGACAGCTAGACGGTAATCAACCCATGTATCCTTTTTGCATAATTCGCAATTGTATACTGTATCAATGGGAGGGGTTTGTTGTCATCTCGGGGAAACCAAAGGCGCAAAATTTGTATCTGCCGTTTCCTATAAACCCCCCGAATTTGTTTCCCTTTCGGTCATCCCCCATTATCGTTGGTTGGGGTCTTTTACTGTTTTTAAGCACCTCTGCGGGCACATGTCCGCCTCAACCAGAGATTTGACTTTATTTCTTGATAGAAACATGAGTTCAAACTATGTAGTTCCTTCTTAACTTCCTTGTTCGTTTCAGTTCATATCAGGTTTTTGCTAGAGCTTGCGTCCTGTAAAATGTCAGTGTTGTGTTTTTCCTTGTCCTGTTATTCATTCATTAAGTTCAACATTTTCACGTTAATTCACCGGGCGACAAAATAATTAGCGCTCTGAACCCATCTGAGCCGACCTATGTTACATTAGGGACTTCAACTCTTTCCGATGATTGAAAAAGCCTAACGAGAGTTGATTCTCTCGAATGTGAATTATATAATCTCAGCACGCGGCGAATGATTAGCATGTAGCGAAATATTTCTTAATGAAAACTATGTAAATTATAATAATTATATTTCATAATTAGGTTTAATTGCCATTTAGCGTAAATCGATTAATTTTTTCTCTTTCCTGTTCTAGATTCCTGGATCAAGGAGCAGTAAGTATAGTTCCCTCATATGTTACGAAATGGCAATGCCAACACTATTTCTTTATTTGAAATATTGTTTATCGTAATAGATTAGAGATCCTGGGTCAAATACTGGTCACGGCACCAAATTGTTGTAGGGCGGTAAAATTCAATGAATCAGACAGGGACTGGAACCCATGGTTTTCTCGTTCGGTTGATGTATCTTATTCCCAGTAATGACTCAGTTAAGATCCTTAACTTGGTCCTCAACACTCAGGGTTATCTACCCTTACTGTTTTCACTTTTGAATATAGTTACACGTAATTTGATTCCGCTCTTTTTGGGAGTTGCTGCCAGAGTTATTGTTTATAATCGTAGAAACTCGGATCTAGATTCAATTCAGAAGTATTCCTTAATATGTCATTTCCTCTGTACTTGTGATCAATAGGTAACTTTGCTTAATGATTGTAGGAACAGCTGGAGATTCTTTTCTCGCTTTCAAAATGTATAGAAAAATGTACAGTAATGTCTTGTTGAGTCGTTAATATAATGAGTCAATTAATTCAATAAATACGCCATACCAAGAAAAATGTAATAAAATGTAACGACATTTAGAGTAACCATTTTGACTAAAATTATTTTGTAATAAAATTATACCGACAAAGAGCTGGTATTGGCATTTTGATGGGAAAAAACTTCATGTTGAATCTTTGTTTTGTTTTTTGATTACATATGCTTTTATAACAATTTTTTCAGGAGACGATTTGGAGGAGATCAAGTTCCTAAGGTAACGTTTAATACACATATCAAGATAGAAGTAGACAATGCTCGGACTCTCGTGCAAACGTATTGAACTTTCCATCACAAATACTGTTCTTTGTGTTAAAAATTATTTACTTCTAGCGTTGAGAACTTATGGGAAAGATAATTGGTCAGCTTTAACTTACTTGTACTTTCAGTCCTTAGTTGAACTTAAGTTGTGTTCAAAATCAAAATCCTCGAAAAAATCTCATACAATACACACACCCTTACACGTTTACTGTTCTACCTGAGCCTCACTTGCGGAGCGTTTGCGTCTTAGGTTGAACAGCGAATTTGTAGGAGTCTGTAAGTTCGAACTTTTAGAGTTCATCCTTAAAGTATATTTTTCTGAAATAATCGCTTTACCATTATTACTTATAAAAAACTGTAGTTATGTAGCTCTGTAATTCTATCGACTAGAATTTGTTTATCCACAACCCCGCAAGGTTAATTTGATGAAGAAAAACATGATCAGTATCAAGCAAGACTATATATGTGCTGATGATGGATATTTTAACAATTCTCATATATTTGGATTTTTTTTTCACACAGGAATCTGTGATGAATTTTGACGAAGAGGAAGGTGACGTCATTGTAACGGAAGTAGGACCGGAAGTGGAAATTCCAAAGTCTCGGCTCAACACGACAATCCAAGTTGATCCCGACAAGAACAAAAACAACGCAACGGATGACGAGATCTCGCGCCTCAACAGGCGCCAGAGTGACCTCACCCATTCACAGGGGATCGCGGGAGTGTTCAGCTTCGACGACGAGGATACTGTATTGGATTCAAACGTCGGAAACGAGGGCACTGTACTATATTAAAAAATAAATTGCAGTTTTACTTTCTTGTATAACGTGCTAATTTAAAGAAGTATCATACATTTTGTATGGCATGTTATGGTTCATATTAATTGTCACGTGCCGGTAGTGTATCAATTGTATGGTTCAGTTATCATTTGTATGGTACAGTTTATCATTACATTTTTAATGATATGCATGCACCATAGTATAGCTGTTGCATTATTTTCTTTATATGATTTTCTTTTTGTAGTACTTCAGTTTGTACAACATTATATAGGCTTATAGCATTGATTCATTTCATGTGACATGATGCACTAATGATTCATTATACATGTCATGATAAACTAGTGATTTATTTTATATGACATGATAAACTAGTGATTTATTTTATATGTCATGATAAACTAGTGATTCATGTTATATGACATGATGTACTAGTGATTAATTTTATATGACATGATGAACTCAAGTTCAAGTTCTTTATTAACTTTAAGGCCTTGCGACTTATCAGTGTAAACATATAATAAACAGGATATTTACATGTGTACAAAAAGCCTCATTGGTCACAGGAGAATGAACAATACACACATACAAACTGTCATTTATCTGATCGGCGATTATTTGGATTTAGTGATTCATTTTATATGACATGATGAAGTAGTGATTCATTTCATATGACATGATGAACTAGTGATTCATTTTTAATGACATGATGAACTAGTGATTCATTTCATAAGACATGAACCAAGCAGTTCTTGTGTTGTACATCTTCTGCAATAGGATATAAGCAATCAAAAACGTTTTATTAAAATATTTTTTTACTATGAAGTAACAAATAATTTTTGAAATGTTGAAGAATATTTTTTTATTATTGGATGTAACAGTTTACCTTTCTCATCACCTGAACACAGGGTAATCGGTTATTTAACTTCAGTTCTAAATAATTAACTCTGTTAATATGCAATTTGTTTTACAGGTTTTAGTCGTCTGACGTGAGACATCATTAATTGTCTGCTAATGGAAAAATTCACAGCTATGACTCATGAATGAACATTTGCTTGAAAGTTGAATTTATTTTTGTAATGATTCTGTCCCGCCGTTTAAACAAAATTTCATTAATCTTCACATTTACATCTATCAATAATTACAGCAATATTTCACCAAATGATACTGTCCCATCTCTTGCAATTGTATAAAAAGTTTTCACTTAATGGATACGGTCACTGGTAAAAACGTGTAATAATTTCGGCATATGATGTCTCGCCAAAATGAAGATTTTACCAGAGAAAAATAAGTAAATTAACTCCTAATTTGTGAATGTAAAAACGTAGCATGGTTCATTCTAACATCAAGCTCCTTATAATGGATTTTAATTTGATATCACAAATGTTAAGTTTACACATGTTTATTTCATTATGTTGTTTGTTCTGCCTGTTGTTTATCTTCATAGTTTTGATACATTCTTTTACATATAAACATGATGTACATGTATTTAATAATACTTCTGGAGAACTGTACTGTCCTAGGTTCAGAGAATTCACTGAAAGGAATAACTCTATTTCAAGAAGGGAGATAACTCTTTTATCAGGAAGACCAGAGCCGTTTTCGTTTAAACGGTTGAACCGATTGGACCAAAGTTGTTCGTTTATTAAATAAGTTCGGACCTAGTAATCTGATGGTGCTTTCAGGCGAGCCTTAACAAAGCCTTGCAAGGTCTGCATAAACATTTGCAGGTCCGCCAGGATTTATACCCGAAAATGTTACATTTAAAGATGGACAAACTGGTTGATCCGCATAAACGAACAGGCCCCTGAAGGCCGTTTCAAAATGGAAAAGAGAGATAACTCTATTTTGAAAAGGCATAAAACAATATTTTTTTAAGTTGAACAGTTTTCACTTCTTAAGCTTTTATTTGTTGATTAATATCATGAAAACAAATAACTATACTGTAAAAAGTCATTAACCGAACAAAACAGTTCTTGACAGAAATGTTCTCAAATGATGACATCCTTGCTTCACAAATCCATTAATACTTTCACTGGTAACCAAAGAATCCGGATGCATATCATTCCTATGATACTAGTTCCATGTGGGGCTGAAAGTAACGCTTGTAATCCGGATATATATGTAAAATCACCTCTGTTATCCGGATTTATGTATAAAGGAGTTGAATCGTCCCTTTTATATGTCGGTCATGATCGTAATCCTGATTTTAAATCGTCGGAAATAAAAGTGTCTAGACTTACGCATTTCATCGTCGTCAAGTCCTCCAGACTTCGTCAATTTCCGTTCAAAATCATCATACAAGATTTTTCCTGGCAAAATGTCTGGTAACAAAATTCTAGTGTAGAATGTGTGCTTTGGAAGAACATGAGAAGAAATAAAGGTTGGAGTACCATTGCAATACTTTCTATAGAAATAACTGCACAATCATTATGTAGTGTACATAGCTCTATTATACATGTATATCACCGAAATCTAACTCGTTGCATTATACTTGCATAATACGATTAATCAATGTATTTTGGAGTTTAGTATCAGATTTATATTTTATAGACGGCTTTTAAGGCTAAATTTACAATAAAAAGCGTATATGTGCCTTTATGTTCTTGTTAGTCTTGTGTATTTCCATATTTTAATTACCCGGTGTAGGTTTGGGGGAAATAAAACCTGTTGTTTCCCCATGGCGTGTCGTAAAAGGCTATTAAAGTTGACTCCAAGAGACCAAATTGTGCCGTCCCAATTGCAACACTTGTGATTCATGCCTTTTCTTTCATCCCTACGCTGTCTTCGTTTCGACGGTTTCTCCTTAGACAACCGTCTTCATATGACCGTAGCTGGTGCAATAATGTTACCCCCCCACACACACACATACACAAACGAAAGCGATATCAAATTGGTTTTAAGTTGTACGTAACCATTTACACCAATCAGAAAATCACTCGTTTGTGATGCTGCACGCCGCTGTGAATGCAAGACGGTCAACAACATTTATTTTAATTCACAAAAGACAAAAGCACACCTAATCGAATGCATTCGGTTGTATAGGTTGATGTCATAAAGGCATATCGTCGGGGCTAACTGTATTCATGGAACTAGATCTGACTTGATCAAAACGTATGTTTCTCAGGATGGACTCGCCTTATTATACTATACTGCAATGTTACTAATCAACAACACCTTTACGAAACTCCCATGATGATAATGGTAAGCTGTGTGTGTGTTCGTGTACAGAAAACGTATTGGTGTTCTTTGTTGTGGTCAACCCGTACTTCCAACGGCGTCCCTTCCCGTAGTGTCCCTTCACTTGAATGCTACATCACAGACGCTGTAGCACCTAGCCCAGGTCATTTAAAAACCCTACTAGTTTTGAGGGCAGGATTAGAATACATCTTCTTCCTTAGAAAATAACACTCCTCGACAAAAATGTTGCCATAATTAGATATCCATATGATAATCTTGCTGACTACTTTCGGGAAAGTCGGTTTCTGCTTTAATTTGATAGGAAGTGTTAATGTAGACTGCGATGCGTTCTCTTTACTGTCAAATAACGCCCCCATAAACAAAGGATCTATGTAAATTATGGAGCAATTTATCTTTTTCACTATAACATTTTCTTGTTTTACTATGTTTGTTATCACAGATACGAACGCCAACAATTTAGTCTTCACCTGCGGCCGTAATTTGTCAACAAATGGCATTAGCTATTATAAAAAAGTGGGGGATTATACATTTGCCTCCGAGTGTGCGAATGAACGTCAAGATCTGTGATAAGTGTAAATTGTCCGTTAACCCATATACATATGAAAGTAAATGTATTACTCATTATATGTGCAGATCCCATAACCCGCATGCCCTGACGTCAAATTATCTTTTATGTTGACAAGTATATGACCGCGTCCATCGAGCCGTGACGATCAACCAGTCAAAAACGTCGTTACAAAACGTACATGGCAATCCTAGCTCGCCTTCGATTGCACACACAGTCGGGAGTTTCGTTTCGTTTCGTATACACTGCTCACATGTTTCCCACATACACACCTGGTTTAAACCACACTAATTAAGGATTTGGTTAATTACTTCAAAGGACAAACATCTAAACAAAGACATGGAATATACGAAAATACTCATGGAAATTATTATATTTACTCTTCTTCCGCAAGGTAAGTTTAATTTTATATCTGTTTTCGCCAATAACTCCAGGCGCAGTACATAATCCATAGCGATTAGGAACATCTGTTGTTTTGTTTGTAGACGCGGTTTGTATCCCTGTGGCCAGATGTCGCTAACATGCTTAATACTATCTAAGGCCATGTACATTTCATGTACATGTCACATTAATTATTACCTAAGATGTATTCATATAGATGATGAATATATCAATGTACATTGTTTCCCTGGCGCATTTGTTTTAAACGATCAAAGCTTCTATGGATGCCGAAACTCATGGGGGCTGGGGTTTTCAAATTAGAAAAAATGTGATCAATTCATTATTTTTAAAAATAATAAAACTTCATTTTCGTCGAGTGCAAATTTAATGCATTTTATCGAAATCCACAAGAAACAGTAATTTATTCAATGAGCCAACACAATTAAATCGTGTTTAGATATGTCAGCAAAATGTTCAGTGTGTTTCGTATCCTGTTTCTGGAGTTTGTCTTGTGAAAAGGCCTGTGTTTTAATAACATTTTTTTATACACATTTTGATTCACAAGTTTTATTATCTCAATAATTTGTAATAAAGACACGAACGGAATGCTTTTTAAAGTACATTTAATCATACATCAATCATTGACTACACAATACTCATATAGGACCATTTGAATAACGGTTACCAACATATTAATCCGGATTTCGATAATCCTGGAAACCCACTCTCCGGATGGTTATGGTATTGAAAAAATACGTTCTTTTTCATTACTCCGGAAATTTCTTTTAAATCGTATCCTCCTTTTCATTCGGGAACCGTGTCCGTTCTAATTACGTTCATTGTACTCGCGAAATGATAATTCAACAAAATATAATAATAAAGAATCGAACCAATAAACACATCTTTATCCAGTGCGTGGTATAATGAATAGCAATCATAAAGCGGACATCCCTGGCCCATGCCCGGGGCAATTCCTAAATTAATTTGATCTGTAGTAGGACAGATATATCTCCATCTTAATCTCAATATTCAGTATGCCCTACAGCTATACATTGTATCTCATTATTTATCCTTTATTGTTTATTGTATGTATTGTGTGTGTACAGACAAGCCCCGTCTAAATTGAAACCTCGTTTATCCGGTTACTGCAGTAATCCGGATTAGCGTTTGCTTCATCGTTCGGAATAACGATTTTTTCGGATAAACGACTTTTTTAAAACTTGAAGTTTGTTTCTAGTATTGGGTTCGGATAACTATTTTCTCGAATATTTAAAATATGGAATAGCTTTCGTCCGTTGCTTGAAACTCACACGAACGATTTTACTAAATTACAGATCTAACAGGTTTTAGAATTCCGGTAATTTTAGTAAAAGGTCACAACGCCAACATGTTTAAGCGGCCAAATATTGTTACCTGTTCTGATGATAATGCTATTAATTATGTTGATAGGAAACAGCGCGTACGCATTTGACCTATATACAAGATATATCAGCGTGTTTCGAAGCAAGACCTAAAATCAACAGCCGTAACAACACGTGTTAAGTGAATGACAATGGTAGCTACTTCAATTTTACACAACAAAAATCTACTTCTTGGCGCTTACTCGTCCTCCCCATTCCTTCCCACCGTATAATGTGACCGGGGGGAATACTGTGCTGGATTCCTTTAGCATGTTTTTTCACACAGGAACTGTGGTACAGCTATTTTTGGACCTAAACTATGGTTTTCGGAATGATGTGTTAGGTGTTTAGATAAAAATGCAACCCCAATGATAATACATATCATGTAACAAATGTTCAAGTCCCTGTGATATTTCAGTGAAGTAGCGCTCTAAAGTCGGCATCAGATCCGCGCTATCGCGAGGAGGCAAGTACACCAACATACATTGTATCCAGCACACATACACACAAGCACGCGTACACAACACACATGGAGGCACGTCCTTAACTGATGTTAGTTGTTAATAGAACGTTAAACAAAATAAAACCAAACCAAGTCCTTCCCACCTCTAGTACTTCAACAGAGTCTGACAACCCAACTGTGTATCGTAAATGTCGATTGAAAGTTGGAATCTCCAACTTTCAGTGCACTTATAATATTTAATATATTGTTTTTTGTCTTCGCAAAACATTTTAAGGGAATTGAATCCAATAGGGGTGGGGGTGGGGGGAGGGGGATTGTTTTTTATTAAGTGTTTAATACACGACGGTGGTAGAAAGGGAAGCTTGACAGAGTCGTCCGTTGCGATTTGGTGAATGTTATTATGTGAAAGAGTTCACTGAAATATAGTTTGTCTCAGTGAATCAGCGGTGATATCTGTGAAATAAACTATTAACCATGGAGATGTAAAAGTACTGAAGGAAAATTATCCATGTTTCTTTCTATACATATCATAGAAAAATGCTGCCCTCGCTAGATGGTTTCTGATAAGAATATTTACAGGAGATAGTGTTAAAACATTTACAGCATTTTGGTTCGCCATGATATTAATCAGTGCACCCCTGCAGGTCGGGGATCGAGAAAAGAAATCACCTGCTGTTACTCACTGCCTGTATAGTAGGAGGCGACTAATGTGGGGATCCCCTGCAGAATTAAGAGATTTGCCTTTGCGCCCTCTACTTTGGGACACAAAAGCGATCAAATTAAATCTGCTGCACCCATTGCAACATTTGGGATCTTTATCCTTTCTACTTCTAACTATCTTTTATTTCCTTTTTATTTTGGCAATACCTCACTTCTGCCTTTAATGTTGAGCGTTTGCCCAGGTGAGGAAGGCAACGGTTTCTGTCGGGACATACAAAAAGTCCTTTAAAATGGTAGTTGTTATTCCCTGCTTGACGTTCAGCATTGAGGGTAATGGCAACAACTGGTTACCCGTTGTCAGTATAATGTGACCGGGCGGAATGCTGTGCTGGGTGCCGTCGGCATTGTATTTCAGTGAGATAGCACTATATATAAAGTCGGCATCAGATCAGAGCTATTACAAGGATGCAAGTACAACAACATACCCGGTCTCCAGCATACACACACGCTTGCACGCTTACACAACATACATAGAGGCACGCCCTTAAATGACCTTGAATGCAAATAGGACGTTTAACAAAATAAAACTAAACTAAACCAATTATTAATCAGTGAGGAATTTTAACAAAGTTTTTTTAAAGCTTACCCACCTGTATAAATCAGTACCGTTACATACCGCTATTGGGAAGCAGTCACGAGATAGACAGGCGTCCTTCAACGGTATTTCGTTTATCCGCAATAGCTTGGCGCTACACTTACTGTTTTAAACATTGACTATATAAACCAATTATATAGAACATTGTGCTCTGTTATATCTTATCTTGAAATAAACATCCTGATAATGATATTCAAGACAAAACACAAGTAAATTACAGTGAGTCACCGACTGGCATACGAGGTTATGATGCCTTGTAAAGTAAGTATTCCCTTTAACCACACGTAATGAAAAATGGCTGGTCGTTTTAATGGCAGGACCCTGCAGGGACGGATCCAGGATTTCCTAAAGGGGGGGGCGGGCCGAGAATTTTTTCTCAATAGTCAACGGTGTGCTGCGAAAGGCAGCAGCCCGAGCGCGTAGCGCGAGGAGGGGGAGGGTACAGACCCCCTCCCCGTAAGGGGGGTTTGGGGGATCTCCCCCCAAAAAAATGTGTTTTCTAGAACGTCTCAGAAGCGATTTCCCGTGTTCTGAGGATTGTTTTTATGTTTAATTAACAAGAAGAAAAAAACATATTTTAAGTATGGCCCAAAGACTTTTTTTGTGTACTGGAAAGAAAATTAAAGTTT